ATCCCTTAAAAACACTTGATTTTAATAGTGTGTAACCCTGTGTGACCTCCTTATGGTATCCGTGAATACAAACCCTAAGTACGATACATAAGCTGATGAAATAATTTTCGACGAAATGAACTGTCGACGAAATAATTTTCGACGAAATGAACTTTCGACAAAATGAACTTTCGACAAAATGAACTTTTGACGAAATGATTTTCGACGAAGTAAACGGGACCGCTTTAAAATATAAGATATTTAAAATTACTGATCATTCTGTTTAGGAGTGTCGCCTATATATGATGAGAAACTACGAAGCAAATCTGAGCATTCAGTTGTTACTTCAACAATTTTCACAGCTTTTAACAAAGTAAAATCTCGATTGTTTAAATTTCGAAAAATAAATTTTTTATTTCTAATTATTATTTTTTTCATTATGATAATTTTTAGATGATGGGGGAAATATCAGAGTCGGGATAATTAGATATGATATACATATTCCAACTACTTGTAAAATTATAGGTATCTGGTTGTCTTGAACAAAATATTAAAGATCAAAACGATGAATTAAAATTGAAGAATGAGCTCAAAAATAAATAAGAAATCGGTGGTCACTATGCAGATACAGCATCAAAAATGAAAAAGAAGGATAATGAATTTGAAAAAAAAATTAAAATAAAGAATTGTCAATCAAAAAAAAAAAAACCCCATATCGTTGTTATTTTTTGTATTAATGGTTTATTTAACATTGGTAGAAAAGTTAGAGATTTCACATAATAATCATGAAATAACATTTTTTCCAATATTGTCACAATGACAATGATAACCATTTCTACAATAATTTTTTTGCTAATTATTTCACAATTATTTAAAAATCTTTTACATTTACAAATTTTACGATCGTGATATATACCGGTTAAAATTAAAATTCGGCTTAATAATTTTTGTTAAATATGATTTGTAGTTCAGTTTATTAATGTCTGACTTGTAATTGGGCCAAAAAAATTTATCAAATAAAAAATATATAGTATTGACGTATTTTAATTTTATTAATAAATATAAAGACAAATTGCTAATATTTTAATCAAAATATCTTTACAAAAATTTAGAGCATATAAATAATATCATGCGATATCTCAAACTACTCTTATTCTGTTGTATAATTGCCGTTTTTAAAGAATCCTTGTTTCTAAAATTTAAAAATTATTGAAAAGGAAATAAGAATCATTATTGTGAACATTTGAATAAAAATCCTATAGAGATAAAATCTTACCTCAAAGTTTTGCTTCACTTCATCGTGAGAAAGACTCCAGTTAAAGTACCGAAAATCGCTATTTAATAAAAATGGTCATTTAGCATTTTGTGATTTTCTGCAATCATATGTAGATTCACTTCGTTAAATGCGATAAATATGAATGATACCTAATTGAACCAGTAACTCCTGCGTAAATTGGTGTTTGTCCAACATACAATGGACCATCATTGAACACAACATTTTGCGTATTAGGATACTGGATGCTTGTGAATCCAACCCATATACAATCAATGTAGACATCCATTCTCTTTTCGATATTAGAGATAGTGTAGGTTATATTATGCCAGGAACCCAGTTGAAGGTCAGGTTTAATATCATTCAATGCAACCATACTAGGATTGCCCCAGTCACTTGTGAAACAGGCTTGCAGTGTAGTGCTATCCCTGAACAGAAAGACTGAAGGAGTACGGGCAAACATTTGGGCGCCTAAAAAATGTATGTATTTGAAAAGCGCCAGTTTAGACGACTAAAAAACTAATCAATATCACATCCTCAGGAATATCTATGCAAAAAGCTAACCTTTAAAAAAACAGTGCTCCAATCACCATGAGTACCAGTAAGTTTCAGATTTAGAGACACCGAAAGCGCACTTGTCACCGGTGGTAACTTAGCATCTGGCGCAACAGCAGTTGCACTATTGGGAGATACATTAACGGGATTAGATTTTATAATTTCCTTGAACAGTTTTTGACTCATTTTTTCTGATTTGTTTTTTCTGATTTGTTTTTCTGATTTGTGAATAAACGACAAACTGATTATTAAAGAATAGTTGCAAACACGCCCATTTTATACATGTTCACGCAATATAAAGTTTATCATAGATTATTCACTACACATGAACTGATTGTATACAGTTTACTCTCTCTATAACGGATCTTTCTATAACGGATTTTTCTCTATAACGGACAAAAAATTCTGGCCCAA